AAGAATTAATCGGTGTTCCGCAAATGTGTTGAATAATTAACGATAAAACACGTAATTAAATTATGCAAATCCCCACTCACCTGCCACCGACAACACCTCACTACAGCGAACTAGAACGCATTAACCACAGCCGACCATTGCTCAACGTATTATGACACTTTGTATGGCGAAGTTCCAAGTATTCCAAATCATCGAATCAGCTACCGATCAGTGTACGTTTTTTAACCCTATAAAGTTTATCCGTGTACATATATTTTACATTCTTTCCGTTCCCTTCGTTATTTACATTTCACCTTAGTTTGAGTTTCGCTTCCGGATAATCTTGCTAAATCTATAAGTCACGTACCGTAGTGCTTCCTAAGTTTATACGAAAACCGTTACAAAATAAACCATAGGTAGATAACCGTCCGCGTTTGAAATCGCTACGATCTCGAAGAAACAACTCACTGGGATGACGCGTGGTTAGCAACGTCCTGTTGATGTTGATCGTTCAAAAACTAATGAAATATATGCGTTGTATAAACATATTACCGTGCCGTATCTTTGTGAACCTGCGATGCGCCACGTAATAATAAAATTAGTACAGTCCGTAAAGTACTCGTATTAAACATCATTCCTGACAGCGCATTCCCCAGCACTCGCGTCTGAGCGCGCTAAACTGTGTCCTCGGTAAATATTTTACGCGCTTTGTAGATCGCGATCTACAACGCTTCGTATGCCGCGCAATGTTCGAATGCGCACCGTAGGCGTTAGTAAAACGATTTCAACGGGAATTCGAAATATCTGATTTTAATGTGAAGAAGAAATGTTCTTATTTGTGCCATTCGGTGCACTGGTTTATTTTTGATCGACGTCAATCGAAAAACGGCAAGCGACTGAACGTGATGTACATTGTAAATATATTAAAAATATCATTTTAATTATAAATGTATACTCAAACTCAAAATGTTTTGATTATATTTTCATCTTATAATGTCAAAAAAAAAAAATAAAAAATTCCAATATTCGAAAATTGGAAAAAAATATATATAACAGCTGTGAAATAATAATTATTATTGCATAAATAATTTATTAAAAAAATAGGCGGTGATTTTTGATAATAAAGCGTGCCTCGTAATAATTAAAATACAAATAATATCAAATAACATAAGATTGTATTAAAGATAATGCGATATCGTCGTTTTACAAACAACGGTCGGCGCTTAATATAGGCAATTCAGGTACATTCATGTCGACTAACCGTTTTCATGTCGATATATTATATGATTGTTTTATTATTATTATTCCCACTATAGATAACTATGCAATTATTTTGTTTAGAAACATTTATTGGTTTTCCATATTTCAATGAATATCCATTAAATTATACTAGTTATTTAAATTAAGAAATTTCATGGTTTCGAATTATTTGGGTGTGCTTTGTGATATTTATAGGCAATTGAAATTGTCGAATTTCCCAAATTTTAAATGTTTTTTTTTTTTTATCTTTTGCGAATGTTGAAACGTTAAAAGTTCAACCTACCTTATTTGGAAGTTTGAGTCTTGCACTGTATCAACCATCTTTAGAAATATTATTAGATCTATCTGACCTCTTTCAGTCAAAACAGTTTTGAGAGTAATGGTACATTGATTTAAAGCTTAAATTATCAATATCGTTCGTCCATCCCTGTTTCTCATTCAACCTTAGTGCCTCACCTGACCTACGAATCACGTATTTTTTTCAAAATCATAATAATTTTTTTGTTTTACGTATCTATAACAGTGGTTCTAGAAATTGACTCGACAGAATAATAAGCACTCTGCGGAACAATATTGACATTATTGTACGATATGTATTAAAAAATGTTTTCTGTATAATTATATTATTTCAATGGCGAGAGGAAAAAATTTTCTCATGCTTTAATTGCGAGTGTATACGATATCGCTAAGCGCCGGAAGACGATTTTTACTTTGAACTATAAAACTATGTCAACGTTAGCGGTATCGAATTAAAAAGTGAGAACAGATTCCCTGAAATTCGATGAGTTTCAGGTCATAGTCATTGGAGTTCCACTGAAGCAAACCCTTTTCTAAGGGTACCGTTTTCGCAAAGGTGAATGGACTAACGTACAACTTTATAATACTAACAAACAGATGCCGATCGCCCAACTTAACCGGGAAATTTGAGTGTAGCTCATTGGTTGGAAAAATTTCGTGATCTCCGCACCCTCGAACGGACGTGATTTTCGCGTGCTGGACTTAACGTTGTTATATCACACAAAGCAATGAATTCCTATAACGGTTGGATTGGCTGCACATGTAGCGCATTATTTTTAAAATATTATTATTTTTTTTTTTTTCGATACACCTGTTTGCGGCAAATAGCCGTTGACAAGCAAAACAAACGGTTTACACGTTAACACCGTCGCAACGTATGGCACGTTCACCATAATCGCGTCAGGGGTATACGATTTATTCCATTTTAATCGACGCAATGGTTTTGCACACAGTATAATAGTGCCAGAAAATTATTACGTACGCAACGTGATTATCACCGTCTCGGCCGCGCTCTTCATCAGCAGTATAATGTACATTTTACGAGCTATTTGATTCTGAATTGGTTACGATGCTCGGAAATTCGTTCGGACGTGTTAGGAACGTTTCTTGGTCTACGAACAATATTAATTAATGTACATCCTAAGACATCCACGAAAATACGACCCAGTACGACAGATTTGTTTTCTCGAATTCTTGCACTGTACGTGTACACACGTGAGTAAAACGTGCATGCACGTGTGTGTATTCGAATGTTTAAACCTCAGTGTTGGGTATGATCTAGATAATATTATTAATTTAACTATCTTATCTAGATAAAATAATGAGTGGATATAAATTATATCTTATTTATATAAATATAATGATTATGCGTGTAAAATTATCTAAATAAATATTATAATGAAATGAATAATTTGAAAATGTTAATACACTAATATAGGCAAAATACAACGGTACGGACGTTATTATTATTGTTGTTAAAATAATACTTATTATTTTAAAATTATTAAAATTAAGTATTATTACAATCTTAATTTTTATTTTTAGTTTTTACAATCAAAATATTAAAATAATAATATTAATATATTAATACAGCATACATTTCTGGTTTGGGGTACGACAAGCCTGCATTATGATAATTATATGCTACACAAGAGCAATACCCATATTATTTATAAACAGTTTTTGGTAGCGAAAACTGAACAGTAGTGACCCGACGGCATTCATTACAGTGTTTCTAGACGTACGGACGTGGTTGGAGGCATAAGGTAATTCTATAATGTGTACAGTTTGCGGGCGGATGAATAAAAACGATGAAATAAGATACAGTAATTTGAATAGTTTCCAATTAATTACTATAAAAAATAAAATAAAAACCATTTAAAAATGTTGCTGGTTTTATATTAAAAATTCTGAGTTTACTTCAAAAAACCAAAGTTAGAAATAAACTAAGTACTGAAACAGTCAACGGTTAGCTCTTAGCAAGTAAACATATGAACCAAAGAACTAGTTGAGTAAAATTTGAATCAACCAAAGCAATGATAAGTTCAATGACCAAACATATTTATGAACAAGAAATTACCAAAGAATCAGACATTCAAGGTAATTTGGACATTTTACAAAAAGAAAATATTGGACTACTTTTATGAACTAATGTTTTTGTTTCTAGGTGAAAAAAATATAGGCAAGTACAGTTATTACACATCCGATACGGAAATTGTAATCATATTTCACCAACCGCAGTCATTATAGATCTGGTAACACTAATTCATTATGAATAGTTGATGGAAATTATAGTATATTTATAATTATTTATCAGTAGATATTTATAGGTAAACAGCGTAAATAGCTTTTAATAGTACACAATTTCAGTGTCTTCTTATTATAAACATATTATTACATTGCATGATACGATTTCGTCGTGTGCCCGGCGATCTAATTGTGACCGTAAACTTTTCTATCGTCACCCGTCGGTGGAAGGACATGTACCTATGGTTATGTTATTATCTGAATACTGAGTAATCATTATTTGTTTCACTTGTGAGAATTTCTTAGTGAGTACTAAGTTAGTGATTACATCTGAAATTATTTTTTGTTATTATAAAATGGAGAAATACTTAAATAAGGGTAAGAATACACAAGGAGGTGAACACCACTGAAGACATTATTGAAAATGTAGACACCAATGATTATATAGCTGGATTGTCTATATCAAGTAAAAATGAAATGGAATCTTATAAAATACAAAATTACTGGAAAATATTATAAAATTATATCTAACAAAGAAACAAAAATATCTGCTATTCGTCAATTGTGCTCGAAGAAAATTATTCCTTATCATAATTCTACTGAAAGTCTATTAAGTCACTATAAAGCAAGTATTATTTGTTATACAGTAAGGTCCATACTTTAGATAGATACATAATATATTTCTTGGAAAAGTACCTACTACAATTAATTTGATATACATTATATAATAATATCACAATATCATACAATAATCACATTATATTTAATATTCTCTTCTTTCCTGCGCCTGCAACGTTAACGTTCCATGGAAATCAATGGTAGATACGTGTTCTTGTTATTTTTATGATTATTATTTGTATCAAAACATGTTAAATTTTTCTATTGATATACAGTTAGTACGACGATTAATTCATCTTATTTTCGATTACGTTTTAATTAAATCTTATCTCATAATGAGGATTTGATAGTTCATAACCTTAGTAATCAACGACCGTACTAAAAATACCGCAACCGTGCTTACATGTACCAGAAATATAAATACATATGTAAATATTTATATTATATAATATTGAACAGATATTTATTACATCTCATAAGATATTAATTTTCTATTTAACATAAAAATGTATAAATTATTACTACAAGATGTATTTATATTTATATATAATGTCTTATTAAATATGATATAACACAGGTTATTAGCAGAGTTTTGATAAAATATAGTCTTAGTATGACTATAGTATTATAATATGTTGTGTGACAATCACATTATGCAAACAAGATATCGATAAATTGACGGGATGTTTTTCCTCAACGGATTAAATTAATGACATAATAATGCATCGGAGAATTTATTCAGTTTATGTTGTCTGTGCACGAGTTTTTGATGATTACGGGATACAATGGGATCGGTCTTTTTAGTGGGCAAAGTGACCCAAGTCCAATCGATCGAACAGCTCTTGAAATCCAGATTCACCCGACTATTGTACCTCATACAATTGTATTCTAAAGAATGTACTGGTTTAAGTTTTTTAACACAATATAAAAAAATGAAAAAAAAAAATGTTTTCCATTTCAAATTTGTGCCGTAGAAGTTCAGTGGTAAGTGCTCACTAACTTCTTGGTTATTTACATATATTTATCTATTTAAACTAATAACCTAACTTAGGGTGGACGCTCATTATATTAACATTGCTTTGAAGCGATTCAAACATTCATAAGACGCATCATCTTGAGCGTCAATGATTGTTTCCCCGTAGCCAACAACAGTCAACGTCCCAGGAGCTATCGCAAGTTGAAGAGTCACGAAATGTTTTCCTGGAAATATATAAATAATACTGCGGTATATTTAATCAAGTTGAATACCTGTAAAGAAACTTAAATATCGGAATCGTACCGATTAGTAGTGTAGAGCTGTTGCAAATGTCATATTCTACTTATAGTCCTTCTTATTCTACAATTTGATTCACGAGACCAACACAAAAAGGAACCGTTTAACATATTTATGAATTCAATTTCTGCGAAATAGTAGAAATTGTACACACAAATAATAAATCTTATTATCCTATTATATAAGTATTATACTAAAATATACTCAGTGGCGTAGTCACGGGGTGGGGTGTAAGGTGTTTCCACCTCCCTCAAATTTTTTTTTATGATATTTAATTATTATTTATTAATATTTGCAAATAATAGCAAAATTATATTTTAATTTTACTATGATTAGGTACATATTAAACATTTGAGTAACAAAATAATTGTCATTAAATATGGGAGATAAAAATACCATGTTGAAAGTAATATTATTATATAGGACCTCGGATTAAGATATACTAAGAATATTATGAATTGACTCTTTAACACTCCCCCTAGAAAAAAAGTTGTATCTACGCCACTGAATATTCTACACATAATGTATTACGTGCGTTCTTAAACGGTAGCGATTAAGTGAAACAAATGCGATTACCTTCAATTTGCACACTCCAGGGTTATTCGACAGACGAATGCGATTAGCGATATCGGCATTGTTCGTAGAATTTACCGACTCAGTTGATGCCGACACGCAGTTATCATTGCCATTTGGGAATTTGGTGGTCCTGAGTGGACGATCAGTATCGTGTTGTCCCAAGGACGCCGGACGAACTACGACCTTTTTAGACATTTTGATCGTAGAGACTTTCTTGACTCTTTTGTCGTCGCCCAAAGTATGCGCTGATGCGTCAACGACAGCGGCGATGGCCCTCTTTTCGGCGAGCCCAGCACATGCTTTTCCGAATGTCCCGTCATCTTTGATTTTGTTTTCGACGACTTTTTTCCCCAAATTTTCGTCCAGAGAAACGTTACTATTCATAAGGTTTTGTTGTATACTATCGTGGCAACTATTCGCTTAGCTTATTTTTTAATCAATCCCTGGACTGTTAAATCGGTACATTGATAATGTATCGAACATGATTAGAAATTAAATTAAATCATTTACCTTTAACGATGTTTGTCATAACAGTGCACTTTGCTGAATACGTAAACGTTTTGTTATCACCCTCTTTAAAAAAATCGTATTTTGGCTACATCCATTTACGAGACATACATAATTCATTCAATATGCACATCGAATTCAATTCGCATTTCTGGGTATCTATTACATTCTCTGAGTGATTTTTTCTGGAAAAAAAAATAAAAACGATTAATCCATAACATTTTTCTGTTTATTATAATTTTTTTTTTCGATATAGTTACATACTTAATATCGTTAACGGTACTTAACCGTGTTAATTTGCTCCTGTTTGTGTATATAATACAAATTCACTATTAATAAATTTATAATAGAAGTAAAAAAAAAAACTATCTATTTTTTTTTTTTTTTTATCTAGATAAATTTGTATATATTTTCATCTTTATATAGATAAGATTAATTTGTGTTATATATCATCTTATCTAGATAAATGTTCATCACGAATCCCGTTGCCGAGGTTATATGTTTGCGAATGAAGAATTCATAATTGAAACGAAAGACAAAAAAAATATACTCATTATAACGAGGAAGGCTTTTGTTAAGTCCTGTTTCCTACGTGCTCGTAAGGCCTGATATCGGTAGACACGACTAATTGAAGGGGAAGGATGATTTATCGATGTTTTGTGTTACGGCCGAAAATATTACAATTTGGAGTTACTTCCAAATATCGTCCAAATAATATTGTCGTGCGGGGGCAGCATCTGATGTACTGTTTTATTTTTTGTGACCATGTAATAAGTGGAACATATAAACAACTAACCCAACCTTAAGTATCGTTCCATTAACAGATAATACATTATACATTACCATCGTTTTCGAACCTTTTTTTCATTCACGCATACCCCTTGATACCACTGATCGGAGCATTGCGTACCCCTTACTAATGTGAGAAGCTTTTTGTTTGAACCGAAAAATTAAAATATATCAATAATATTAGTATGATTTGTTTACGTCTTAAGAACTTTAACGCTCATAACTCTAAAGACAAAGGTTCATCATATAATTCACATTTTGTAATTAATATCAAAAGACGAATACTCACAAATCAAATATAATATTATTTAATGAAACATCATTGCGTTACGACGAAATAATTTGTTTCGATGCTATTTTCTGCCAAGAAGAGTTTCTTGAAACAGCGCTCGATTAAAGTCATTGTGATTTCAGTAATTAACTGAAGTTTCAAGAGAAAACTTTGTGAATACGAATAAATGAAATGTTGTAGATCAACGATTCTTGATCCTTGTAAATCAGTGACATAAGATATTTATCAAAGTTTTTATGCGCCACACATTTTCTTTCAAATGGCCATAACAGGACACGAGAAATAAGCTAATATAGAAACGTTGAAATTGTTGATAATTGATGCCAAAAAACTGATTAGTTCAGTATGGCCAGAGCTTTTATATTATCCGGAATCGTCTTGTAATTCCAATTTTTGTTCCGTTATCCCGAAATGTAAACAAGAGGGGAAAGGTGCGTTCCATATTTTTTAAAAGTACGTCGTCCTAAGTATCTATTTTATCGAACTTTTATCAAATGTAATCGCTTCCGTGAACGTCGACCGATAAAGTAGCTCGGTAACAATAAAATAACGAAATGGTGAATTTATACGTCTGGTCAGCCGAAAACCATTTTTCATTTAATACATTAATACGTTCAACGACGAAACTATTACGTGGACTTTTTAATTTTACTGTGACCCGTACAAAATCGTTCGGTAACCCACGAAGTGCTCCGGCGCTTTTGTTGCGTTGCATGGTACACCGGATGAAAGCAATCGGATATCCAAGGAGTAACGGTAGATTTCAAAATAATTTTCTATAAACGTAATATACGTCACACGGTTTTCATTAAAGCGTAATCGAACATTGGTGTTGAACTCGCACCGTTGACCCGTGACGGGGTTCGGAATATTATCAACTTTAGACGGTGTCGCGCGTTATTATGATTGCGATACGTGCCGCGTGGAAAAAAAAAACGAACGTATACAGCACCGGACATTAAACTCGTAAGAATACCGTTACCGACGCGCGTTATTACCCAACGATCAATCGCCGGGAAACAACGTTGTTCGCGATGGAAAATTTAATTGACGTCATATGTTTTACACAGTTTTTGTAGTTTTCATACGTATCACATATTCGATATTTATCGTCCTCCGCCGCGACGTGCACGTGTGTCCCGCGCACGATTCTAACAACACATCCCGCGTCGTGCCGTGCGCTTTAGTGCGATGAGTAGTACTTAAGTTTATCCCGTCGACGAGAGCTTCGCGACCGTCCGAACAAACGGACGGATACGTTAGACCGAGGACGTGCGTAAGGCCAATGCGGCGTTTTTATTTTGAACGACTTCTCGTTAAACTTTTTAATTTATTTTACGCGTAAAAATATATGATTATTTTTTTTTTTTGTTTGTTTTTTTATCGTTTCGACAACGTTGGACATCCGTTCGAGTACGAAACGCATCGGTGTTTTTCGCGCGCGAATTTATTTTCTCGGTTGTCGGGCTCGCACCATGAACTCGACAACACTTTTTCCTCCCGGTCGTCGCTGTTAGCGGACGTCGTGTACACTGTACGCCGCCGACCCGTCGTCAGTGTTTTTTCGTTATACGTTTCGCCACCCGTAGCACATCGCACCACGTGGTTTGACCGTCACAGTCTTCTTGTCCGTTCTCGTCATCGAAAGACTTCAGGAAACCTTTACGCGTCGCAATTGTGAAGTTTCCGATCGCCATCGTCGCGTTCGTGTTAGCCTCTGTCGTACCGTTTTTATTACCGTTCCGCTAGCGTTTATTTGTTTGCCGACATTTTGTGGGCCATTAATTTCGTCGCCCGATCGTCCGAGAACTCCCGTATTCCAGTTTATGTCCTCGTGACGTCATCGCCGGGCGCCGAGTCGACGTTCAACCGAAAATTTTCATTCGCATGTGCAAGCTGCGCCCTATACGCACGCGACAGGGAACTTTCTGACTGTTGTGACCGGTACGCCAACGACCATACTGTAACCCAATTTCAATTCCTCATTGGTGTCAGGTCGTACATCCGTTATCAATACGAGTGTGAAGTTAGCCCCCCCACTATAAAAAATACTTTCCAAAATAATAATTATTTTCTTAATTTGTAACTATTTTTAACCAAGTTTTTAGAATTTGTAACCTTATATTTTTCAAGCTACGGGTACTTTCTCAATGAGAGGTTAACTTCACGCAGCCCCCCCCCCCAATTCAACGAAATCGTCCAAAACAAATTGTAACCTATAAAACCCAATTTGTAACTATTTGTAACCAACTTTTTGGAATTTGTAACCTCATCAATTTTAAGTACCGATGGATTTCCCAAAGAAGATAACTGAATAAAAAAATTACGTTTTTAATTTATAATATCACCCAGTTCAATCAATTCGTCTAGAACATATCGTAAGTTGAAGAAAATAAATGTTGATTTCAAAGAAAATATAATTTCAGATGACCAAATAGTTGAAGAAAATGAAGATATTCAAAATAATGTTCAATGTCTTAATAATATTTCAAATAATATGGATACATTTATTAAAAGTATTAAAGAACCTGTAGCAGTTCTCTCCGTTACACGTGGTGATCGTTTGAATGGGTACTTTTTACCTGGCTTATGTGCTTCTCTTCTTCGGATTAGGATTACGAAAGATTTTCCTCTCTGGACAAATATAATGGCTAGATACTATAAATCAAAGCATGAAACAGCCACTTCAGCATCAGTCGAAGGATATTTTTCTCATTCCAAAAATTAATTGAGTCAATCACTTAGCACCATAGACCGTTTTATTGGTTCACATTTATTATCGATAGAAAGAGAATTGATAATGGCCAGATCATTACAAGTTAACAAAAATCAAGATTATAAATCAAAAAATGATTTTAAATCAAACAACAGCAGTATTCATATGATATATGGTAATGAAACAAATAAGGAAATTTATATAAATAGCGACATAAGTAATAATGTTGAATCGGAATTTTATAGTGATGATGATATTTTTATCAATTCAGATAAATCTGATTTAAATATAATGGTAGCAGATGAACTGATGACACAAGAAAATTGGAGAAATAAAGCAGACCAACCAATCAAAATTAAAAAAAAAAAATAATAAATTCCAAACGATTATCAAAATATAGAAGTCCGTTTTCAGATATTGGTCATGTACTAAACACTTCAGGATTACGATCAACTTCATTATCAGTGATATTAAACGGAAATCTTTTACCCGCTGTTAAAGTAAATAAAGAAAAAATTCTGATATTTAACACGTGTGCTTTTGATTCGCTTTTAGTAGCAATAACAATAAGTTACATTGATAGCAAAAGTTATGTTATATATCGATAATAATAAAATGAATCCTTTTATAAGATTATGCAAAGATGTAGCTCTTCATGGATCAATAAGCATTACTTATTAACAACGAGGTAATTTGCTTGCTAGATAATGGATTTTTTAAAAAGTCACCAGTAGAATCCGGAACCTCAATGTTGGACGCAAATATCAATATTATTGCTTTAAGTATTAATAATATAATTATAATAGTCATACTATAACTGACTGCGGCGACATCATTTCCCTTTAGTTTTCACATGGTTTTGTTCTTTAAAATAACATTATCAAGAATAAATAATTATGATCCGTAAAAAATCGAATTTATTTAATATAACAAAGAGTAATAATAATTATTCATTAAAGTAATTATTATCATAAAATATTGTATCAAATAACTATTAAAAAAATGAGTCTACTTGTTTTTATTTGTTCCATAAAATATTATTGTGTTCATTATGTTATAATTATATCGTACACACAGCATTATTAATTAATAATAATTATACACATTGACGAATATCATTGTTGCACCGTGTTTTTTGCATCATTATTAAGAATATTATACATAATTATTTAAAAATATGATAAACTCAACATAATATCAATACTATTGTTAATAGTTTTGTTTTGGTGTCAATAAAAACTTACAAGCTAATAAAAATTCAAAAACATTCTAATGTTATATACTATTCGGGCTCTATTATAGTTTTCGTAATACGTTAAATAGTAGGAAAGAATTTTAAAATAGTATGCATTATTATAATACCAAGCCAAGAGAACCAAGAAAAACGATATACATAATTAACTCATATTACATATTATCATTATTTTTGCATTACGTCTATTCTATATATTAATTTTAATATTAAATATAACATTGTGTGTGTACACATATATATATATATATATATATATATATATAAATATATACACATATATTGCTTTAATTAATCACTCGATATTATATTTGCAATTTAAATCATGGTTATGACGGTTTTAAAAAAAAATTAAAATGTTTTTCGTATAGCACATAATATAAGAATAATATATGCATAAAATATTCGAAGAAATATAATGTTATTATGGATAATAAGTGTATTTAGATAATATATTATGTATTTATAATGATGTCATAATCATATTTGTAAACGATTAAATATTTTTAGAAAGGTGAGGGGTTACAAACGAGATATTTCCTATAACGATTTAGCACAAGCTAAAAACAAAACATTATAATCAAAACTTAACACAGGTATTGTCTAATGGTATTATCACCCAATGCTATTCAAATAAAATATTAACGAATACGTAATTGAAGAATTCAATATTATCTCTGATCCCATCGATTTTAACATTTTTAACGTTTCTATCTAGTGCGCAGAACGATTTAACAAAACTGGTTATTTTTTTCTATTCTAGAGTAGAGTTTCCTCCGTAATTTTTTTCATACCGTATAATTAACATAGTAATAATAATAATAATAATAATAATAATAATAATAATAATAATAATAATAATAATTTTCGTTTAGACGTTAAAAGGCGTACGATTCAAAAGCACTCATAAAACGTTTACAATTTTGGGTATTGTATTTTTTTTTCTTTTATCTTTTTTTATTTTTTTTTTCCATTTCCTCCTCCGTTTACATCTCTCCGAATATTCCCGCAAACGTTTTTCTCAAATTTTTCATAGTGTCCTCGGTGTCATCCAATGTCCCTTTGTTTTGCTGCGTCTGAGCCGGAGCTGCGACCACCGATCCTTGACGACTCAGATTCGCTTTCGGGGGTTGGCTAGACTGATGGCTGCTGGTCACGCTGCTCTCCGAAACTATACAGAACAAAAATGTAAAAACAATTTAAAAAAAAACACTTTTAAAACATCCATACACGTCATCGATATCGTACTGCGCATTAGTAATGCACTATGATATGTTCTCTCCGTCTTACAAACGTACATCGTAACGAATATGAGTTCGGCAAAGCCAATTTTTAAATTCTGAGTGAAAACAGGAATGTATTGGTTTTACTGTGATACGTGATTTTTAATTTTAATTTTCTGTTTTCTGAACGCAAATCAGATCCAAATAAATCCTCATATCAGTCCTGTTGGTACTGGTCGTTTTTTGAATTACACACCAGTTTTCCGAATTAAAAAAAAAAAAAAAAAAACAGAGAAAAAACACGATAAACTTCAACCGAAGTCGAATTTTGAACTCAGCACCACCTAAAAGTAATTTGTCACGAACAACTCAATTAAACTATGAAGAGAAAAAGTTCTTAATAAAAATAATCTATTTTTAAAATAACAATTAGTTTTTATCGGAATATCGTTAAAAAGTTTTGTGAGCGTTTAAAAATTAAATTTTAATGAAATAAGGTGTTTCGACGAATTTCCATTATATGCTATTAGTTTTGGTTATTATTTTATAAATATTAATTGTAGGGACTAGAAGAAACAATTATCCTATACTTATAATATATTAGTTCTTAAATATTTGAATGAAATTTGCACTGATTATAAATTACTTTCAATTTTTGATTAAAAGTTGAATCGTCTTTAGTTAAATTCTACCATCTTTAATATAGATTATATATCAAACATTATTAGAAACATAAACTAACCAACCTGACGTTTTTCATTCACCATCGTGTTTTTCGATAACAATGGTACAAGTTTAAAATAATACAGCAATATCATTCACCTGTTCTTGTTTACCAACCAACCGTAAAGTTTCACAATTTGTTATTTTTATCTTTAATGTTAGAGTAAACTAACCGAGCAAGTTAAGAATAAGTTAAATATTTGACTAACTTAAAAAAATTAAAATATCACAAAAAAAACCAACGTAAGAAGTCAAATAATTCCTTTCATTTTGATAACAGATCAGTTTACTCTAATATCAAAACCAACCGTATACAATTGATTCCACAGAATTAATATTTGTGTAGTCGTATGTATACTAAGCATGTGGATGTTCAGTCCACTTAAATATTTGTTTAGAAACAATTTTATAAACGGAAACATCGTTTTACCTAAAGAATCCCTTCTGGCCGGAATTGCTGGTGGTTCTTCTTCTTGCGTGGTCACACCCAACGGTTGAGTGGCCATGTTTGCCAAAACTTGAGTCTAAAGTACAATAAAATACGTTTTTGTTTTATTGAACATTTGTGACGATTGCAAAATGCAACACGTGAATTCCTGATGGGATCGACTTCTCGTCAAACAGATCGATGGGTGTATTTCTCGAAACCGGAAAAATTCAAATGCTACCGATTGTCTGCCAAAAAATTTGTTTTATGATTATTGGTTCTGAGTACACGTGACTCGGAAAAAAATTAATGAAATATGTCTACAAAAAAATAAATAAATCGAGTAAATTACACAGAATGTAAACTATTGGATGTAAGAAATGTTATTTGCTATGAGATGATAATTATTAGGCGTTCTAAGAAATTATAATTTTGTGAAACCGTATGGACATTTGCATTAGGTTAATAAACAAAAATATTGATTGATCGAAATCAAATATCACGACGGGTACTATACAATTGCGAATAGAACGATTCCGAACGGACCTTTTCTCGTACCGCAATTGCGAACGTTTTTACCTGCCATTTTTCGAGCGGCGTTGCCAGATTCATTGAACTGTCAATTATATTTATATAAATGGTTTTCTGCTATTGCGCCGGACAAGATAGGTGGATTACTAATATACTATTTATCTATAGTAGGTATATATATATATATATATATATATATATATATTGGCACAAACTTTGAAAATAATAAATTCTATTAAAAACAATGTTCATAATCCTATGGCCAAAAAAGATAAATCTATGATTGAATCAACAATAAGAAATTACAATGGTTATAAAATCCATAAAAATCTTGTTTTATATTTACACAAAAACTAGAAATTCCTACCAAGGAAAAAATTGAAATAAAAAAAAAATGTAGAAAAATTATTTTTTAACATTATTATTATTTAAAACCTTACTTTTTTCAATTTATTTTACATTATCTATTATTTTTATCATTTTATTTTAGTTTGTAACGTAATTATAATGTAACAATGTAACATTTTATTATTCATAATATATAGAATAGTTTTTACTTAAAAAAAAAAAAATCATTGATAAGCGGCATTCGTTCGCAATCGTGTTGTACCCATCACGATTTGTATTTTTGTAAAATTACATTACCAACTAAAAATTATCGATCCAAAAAGGCGAAAGTTAAGAAGAATATTTAGTGTGTAAAGTTTTAGTCGAGTTCATTCGTTCGATTTTCGAAATATTCGTATCCGTTTCTAACGGTGTTTTAATAAATATTAGGAACTTTTATGATTTCTGTTTCGGAAACATTTTAATTACAAAATCGTGCAATACTTGCAGTCCCGGTTGAACGTAACCACCGAGAGATACGTTGCAATAAAGTTTACAAACGGTATACAGATTTAGAACGGAAGGCGGCCGAGTAACGGTCGAGAAGTCGAATACGACAACAGGAACCCGCGACACCACGGTTCGATAGGTACTTCTAATCTCTCCACGATCAAGTCGAAAATGTGTTTCCTGTCCTCTTCTTGCTGGTTGCCCAACAACGACAGTGCCGAATCGTTGACACCGATTATGTGCTCGATCCCGTCTTTGGACACGACCACCTCCAGCGCCAGAATGTCCAAGCCACCGAAGAGTTCAGCCACAGAGTCCAGCCAGAACTTGTATCTCTCCAGCACTTCGGTTTCTTCCAGCATCGCCGAGCCGACGCACGATTTCCAATTGCCCGAAACGCTTTTACGCCTGGAAATTTCGATTTTTACGAACGGAGATCAATGGCCGCGTCGATCGCGATCGCGTGCAGCGATCAACGCGCCCCGTGATCTTGCGACAACAGCGTACTCACATCAAAGCCCGATAATGGACGCCGATTTTGGTCAGATGCAGATCGTACTTGCTGTCCACGAACGGTTCCGTGGTGCAGTACGTCGACGCTACGGACACGATAGATGCCATGTCCTGGAAGTCGGAATTGTTCTCTATTTTTATCTTGCCCACGCCGCCGTGAGCGTGTCCGACTTTGAGCACCACTGGCAGTTGTGTGGCCACCGACTAAACAACACAAACGCCATTGTGTATCTTTCGTCTAATACTAGTCGCAGTGATCATAATATTTATGTTTCGTAATTACCATCTCGCCGGAAGTCGGATAGAACGTTTGCTCGATAAGCGGAAAGTTTTCTTTGCCCAACTTTTTTTGGAGCTGCACCAATTGCCCGTACACCCACGGTTTGTCCTGAAAACGTAAACGTAATATTTACCACACTAGGTCGGATGTAAAATCGAACTGTCGTCTTTTACGCGTTAGCGCGCCGGTATTGACGTGTCCGAAACGCGACGTGGTGCGACAAGACGTCTCGCGCGGGAATGGCGAAAACGAAAATAACCAACAAATAGCAATTAGGCGTGAAAAAAAAAAACCGTTACAGAATTTGTAGGTAAAAACGATTTCGGAGGGAATGAAACACGATCGCGGCAAACACGATGACGTGCGCAACGTATGCGTTGACGTTTGCGCGCAATCGCCTCATCGACCACACGACGCATTGCGAACGGGTGAGGCGTGCCGTTTACCTGGAAGTTGTACAGCGAGTTTAACGAATTGATGCTGGGCACACCGCCGATGTTCAGTCCCAGCAGAACGTTCCTGTAATCCTTGCCGGCGTCCCTGACGCTTTGCCGGCAAAGGAAAAAGTCCGGTCTGAAGGAACGGATCACGCGGGAACCGGAAGGAGACAGTACCACCATGCTGACGGTGCATCCTTTGTCCGCGCTCGCGGTCACCGTCAAGTCCTTGATGTCCGCCTGTTCAACGTGTATTTCGAAATCGCCAAAGAAACGTTTGCCTCGGAAGTACCTGGACCTGCGGTGAGCGTTGGGCGACGAGATAAACGGGAGAAAACGAAAATTAATTCAATACAACAATAATTTAACGGACGATGTGACAGATGCATAGTGAATTCGAAACTATTATTGTTTTATTTTTCTTTTACCAGTCAAAGTTCTCGTCGTCGACCACGAGTAACGTTAACAAGCGATCTTTGTTCACTCTCTGCTGCCGTCGTGTAGCTGCCGCGTCTGTAAACAAACCGGAAATTCAAAACCAATATTATTATGAGGTTTTATTACGAAATCGTAAGTATATCAATCGTGAATGGCCGCCAACGGTGAAAGGATTTATAAAAATCAAAAACCGTCTGAGATTATCACGGTTATCAAAACATACAATGTTTCGTGTTGTTTATTTTTTAGATTGTTTCAGGTCGTCGTGTATTTTTTTTTTATCGCGTACATGTTTAACCACAGTGACTTTTTGGTTGGATGAAATATAATTTTCAACGGAAAGTATTCAAATGCAATTCAAACCGTTCACGAGAAAATATAAATGATAACTATGGTGTATCGAACTTAACCTATTTTTGTTGGATGCATATAGAATAAAACTAGGAGTAGGACAGCGGATGGTAGCGTTTACCTATCAGCGTTGTGATTAAAGTTGCGACTGACGTATTTGTAAGCTTCTGGCTGAGTGACCATCTAAATGTATAGCGTCAAGCCCTTTTCAGTATACCACGAGTACCCACATAACGAATACAACCATGAACATTACATTATGTAGCTAGTAAGTATAAAGTGTTACCGTGGTATCTGGAATTAGTAGAAATATCAATCGGTGAGTAACGATCAATATAATTTTATCAACAATTTAAATTTGCAATTAATATCTAATTTTGTGTACTCAATTATCATGGTCTCTTCGTATTTTTACGTTCTACAGATTATACGACAGTACTAAGATTCTGGGCTTATATTAGTAATTTACGGGCTCAAAATTAAATATAATTATAATAACTAAACAAAATCCTATCAATTTCAATAAAATATATGTTCCAAATACATGTAATCTCTGTACATGAATATTATACTTTAAATTTAATATAACATAATATAATTTGCATTATTATTCGAATGTCTTTAGAAAATTATGAGAAATTATTAATATTGCCTAGGAGTTAGTATCAAAAAAAACGTAGTCAGATTCAAATTATTAGGTTCATTAAAATTCTTTTAGCAAAAAGCTAACATGTATAAAAAGCGGTATTGGTTACTATGGTAACTCAATTCGACACGGACAGGCACAATAGGTACAATAATATTAAAAGGTGCTCCGTGTAATATGTCTACGCAAAGATGAAATTGATTGAACCGAAACGACGGTTTGAATAATGTATTTTTACAGGATATTTTCTAAAGCTCGAACAATTGTACAATACACGAAGGTAACATATACGGCGTGCTATCTCTTTTCGAATTAAGCCACGTAGCGAGCAAAATCAAATTATTCGTAAACACATTGGAACTCTTTGCACGCCATTATAAATGTTAAGATAATTGCGATGTAATAGAGTGCATAGCTTTGTACTCGCTGCACGCACGTGTAATCGAATTAGTTTAGTATTATATTTAGAATCGAAAATAGTTTGTGATTTCTAGGTGGACTTAGTCTGCACTGAACGTGGTAATAATTCAGATGTTCTAAACAATAAACCGTTTAACTCACAACCTAACCTAACACATATAAACATACAACGGTATCCAAAATGTTTGATTGAAACATGTTCTGACGACATTAACGCGCATACGGCGATGTCAGACATTCCCACGTCGTAAACAAGTGCCTCGATTTAATTTGCTTTTATAACACAGAATATACATAAAAAATTATGTCTAAATAATTTAACTGTACATGCATGTATGATGAGAAATAATTTCAATTAATAATCTTATTTGATTTGATTTGAACGTGTACTGATGTACTGATGTATAGTACGCATATACTAATGGGATAAAAAAAAAAAAATTTTAAATCTGTTTTCATATTTTAAGCAATACAAGATTCTTTATTGAAAATCAATCTAGATTTTCTCGATTGTTTTAATGTATAATATCATTCTGATGTTAAAAGACTTCGTGTGTTAAAACGGAGTGGTGTAAATCATTTTAATACTCTTAAGTTAAAAAAACTAAATATACACCCGTGGGCATGCGAGTCGTTCGAATTCCATACCGTAATAATTAGACGTGCCATATCAGTAGGTTAAGAGCGGCATTGTATAATAACTACTTACAGTCACCACCGGTTTCGAGTGCCTTGTGTTTTTTTTATTTTTTATCCGTTTACTCCCGAGGTTACGATAGAAGAGGCTTTTCCTCTTTGGATTTATTTTATTCTCCAACGGAAACCTCTCAGCGACGTTTAAAAGTGACGAGAACCACCCGCTAGAGAACTGGTATGCATTTAGCACTTTTGTAGGGTTTCCACTGCGAAGAGCAGTGCGTGTTATTTTATTCATTGTTTCTCATACAATAAAAGGGTTGCTAATCGAACTACGGTCACAAGCATTGTTCGACGGGTCGCATACAAATGTTTTGAAAATGAAATCACGAAATCAACATTTTCGTACTTTAGAATGTTTGATATTGTTGAAATAATCGTTGAAATAAAATTCAAAAATACAATTGGAAATAAATCTTTGAAATGTATAATTCATTGTGTTGTTATAGCAGATAAAATTTGATTTCGCTATAATTATTTGTGCCGGGTGAGGATTAGAATTTATTTTTTTACTCTTGCGAGTTTCTCTGGAGTACAGAAAATAATGTATAGAGCGTCTCAAAAATAACGCAGGATTTAAATCTGCTATAAATTAAAAGTATTTCTTTTAAAAAAACATAACAAATATATCATTGTCTTCAGGAGAAATTAAGGTTTAACAGTGAAAAACAGACATATGACCCTCCCTATTAGCCCTTCATGCGATTATTTTTTCCATAAAGTTTACCATCACTCGATCATACATTGCTTCATCAAGTTGACACAACGAATTTCTCGCTTATGACTAAGATAGTCCGAACTTTGTTCTGGTAAACTCATAGTTTAGTGTATCCCTATAACTCTAAAAAAAAAATCACACGGGGTCAAGTCTCAAGATCGAAGTGGGTGGATTTAGTTTTTACGCAACGAAATTAGTCTGTCCAGGAACTTCTCACGCAGCAGAGTGATTATTTTTCTTGAAGTGTGACAAGTTGAAACAAAACATTTTGATGTTCATTTGGTCCAAATAAGGCCAAAGAAAATTACTGAGCTCAATTGGTATTCTTGTATGGTTACAACAAGACGACGTAACTTATTTTATGTTTTTTTTTTTAAAGAAATAAATTTAATGTATAACATATTTAAATCCTGCGTTCTTTTTGAAACACCCAATATCATATTGGACGCTGCTGCCCAAAAAATTGAAAAACATTGCACTAACTTTTACACCCGTAATCGAGTGCACGAAAAACAAATGATCTCTGTTTTGACTGTATCACGTGGCATGATCCTCGATTATCATGAAAATGGATGATGGGATTCAATTGTGGACGAACGCATCTGCACATAGGTCCTGATTATCCTGATTCCGGAGAGAAGAAAAATGTTGGGTCACATGTTGGTATACTATGATTTTCCATTCAGTATTTCGCCGAGATGTAAGCAAACATAACGCGCACCGTCGACGTTTTTTCTAGTTTACGCCATAACTCGGGAATACGGATGTCATTTCCCGAACCAAAGCCGTGTCCACGCGCTTATAATATATTTACTGTTTCGTTTTATGGAAAAAATATGGTTGAACGACTTATCCCATTACTTTACAACGGACACGAAAGTTGACCTTTTCAACGAATTAATTATTCAATACCATGACGACGATAGAAATACATACAATATTTAAACATATGACTCACTTCTGAATATAAACCCTATATTTTTAGGATAGCGCTACTCGCACTGTATTTTAATGCAACTCCTACGTCGGTATTATTTCGATTTGATCGATTATCGAAAGCAATTTTGGGAATTTAAAATTTAATTTACGTTTTTGGGTAAAGCTTCTATTTTTCTCTCATCATTCAAAGAATTCTGTGAATTATTACAGAACTTAAACGCTACACAATATAAGTTATATTAGTTTACAATTGACAGTACGTTACGATTGTTGTTACGAATTAAAATATGAATATTTTATATATTAATTATATTAGCCGATATAGAAAGAAACGTAAGTACCAATATATATTGGTACTTTATTTGTAATTTGAAATTGAAATTTGACTAGTATTCTATTTTGTATACTCAATATATGAGTTACGGAATCGTTTTAAAATATTGTTCCAGAATTATAATAAATTGTTTAAAATACGTTTTGAAACCGAGAGTTTGTCACGCTTACAAAGTGGGCTTTCGTAATTTGATCCCCCCCAGAATAAATTCATATAAGATTTTATGGGTGCACCTTGTGACCGAGTGTGTATCAGGTGGCTGTCCGCAACACATCCTTCATGAGAAAAGAAATCATCTCCTCTTGGAATAGTTCTATTGCAATGCTTAATAAGGTCTAAGCTCGTTGTCCCCCTACCACTCGCGAACGAGATGCCCCTATTTTTGGTAAACCCTCGTCGAAACCGGAAAAATAAAAAAAAAAAAGCGAATGATATCGATTTCACACTTACACTTGATGTCGTTGCTTATGGAATTGGCCTTTTCCTTAGCCGCGTCCGTCAACGATTGGACACGTTGTAGGATCGAATCCCTCGTCTTGGCTGGGCTGGTCGGTGCGCTAATGGTCCGGCTACTCGGCTGCTGCTGCTGGTACTGCTGCTGCTGCTGGAACTCCAGTCGCATGTCCGCAGCTTCGGACGCGGGCGTAGCAGCTTGTGACCGCGAAGTTTTGGACGCGTACTGCCGCTGCTGGGCACGCTGCTGCGATTGCATCCCCGCGGACGGCTGTTGCTGGTCCGGGGGAGCCATCGACGGGTCGGCATCGTCCGCTTCCGCTGATAGGTCTCCTGAGGAGAACCTGCGGACAGAAGAATCCGTGTGTACGTTCAACAATGGCGACGGATTACGAAAGTAATAATTACGGAAGAAATGTGTAAAAACGTTCCCTACGTTCTGCCATCACCACCCTAACCACACGCGTTTAACGTATTCCCCGGAGAAAAAGTTTGCGATTCCGACCGTACCCCGTAATCGTTAATTCTACCTATTCTCCCCGATGGGACTCTCCTATTTTCACTGTTATCCTTGCCTGGCCACTTCCGATCCTAACCATATCTCTACAACCAATGTCGCGTTAAGCTATGTAGCCGGCCCGTGGCAAATTAAAATATGCTGCCCTTAAGAAAATTACAACTCACAATAAAAAATAATATATATAATAAAAATAATATGTATTATAGTTGTATAGTCATACAAGAACAATTATAATTATATATTTTATACTTTATGCTGATCCTCAAACATTTTCCGCTCCATCAAACATCATAAAATTTGCCGTCCCGGGGTGACTATCTCGCCTTGCCCCCCGTTAAACGTGGCTCTGCACGCAACGCGCATGGCTCCTCTCCTATTTAAGTCATCGATTTGGCTCCCTAATCTAAATATTTTTTACGTTTATCGCTACTGTAATTGATTCCGTGTATTTTACGACAAATGATCGGCGCGCGTGTCGAGGTGTGCAATATACCCCCATCAATAACAAGTTTTACTTCGTACAACGTTTCGACAAAAAAATTATTTTTCCTGTGACATTATGTATCTTCCAGTTGTAATAACACAATTGCTGTAAGTAGTCTAAGCAGTGTGGTTGCAGCAGTTGTATATTAAAACAAGATAAAATTGGTCGACGATAAAACGATTGTATTGCAAAGACTAGGTTTGACCATTTTTACTTTTATTTTTGATTATAAAAAACTCTGTGATGAGTTTACAACGATGTTTTATCTCAGTACTAAAAAATTCTTCGTAAATATGCATACAGATTCAAAAATAATTCTGTATCCCAATTTCTCAGTTATTGAACTAAACACGAATGGTGTTAGACGAGGTTGGAACGACAGCGGTGGGCTAGATCAAAGGCAATATGGATTTCGCAAAGGTCATTCCACAACAGACGTAGTGCATAGAGATCGTGGAACTAAGTGGACCCAGAAAAAAAATTGGTATTCTTACATTGAACATTCAAAACGCCTCAATTCAGCCCCATGGGAAGGAATTATGAAAGCGATGAAAGAAAAAAAGGTCCCAATGTATATAAGGCAAATAATAGATAGCTACCTAGACAATCGAACCCTAGTTATCAATACAGAAGATCAAAAGAAAATCGTGAAACTATTAAGTGGGGTCCCACAAGGCTCCGTTTTAGGCCCTACACTGTGGAACATAATATATGACGGCCTTTTACGTATAAGATTTCCGACTGGAGTATCGTTCCTAGCATTCGCTAATGACGTTGCCCTAGTGGCCGTAGGAAGAGACTCCATCGAATTGGGTAACTTATTATCAGAAGCAGTAGATACCACAAAAATATGGCTGTCGAATAACGGACTCAAAATAGCAGCATAAAAATCGGAAGCAATGATAATCACAAACACCAGAACAAGAAACGAAATGTGCGTTCAAATCGGCGAGGACCGTGTCTAATCAAAATAAAACATTAAATACCTTGGACTACAAATAGATTCAAAATTAAATTTTACCCAACAAGCAAAAGCCACAAAGACAAAAGCCAACAAAGTCGTACAAAAACTATCCAGGATCCTTCCTAACATAAGCATGGCTAAACCAAGGAATCGTAAATTAATAGGTAGCGACGTCGTGTCGATACTACTATTTGGAGCCCCAAACTGGGCAGATAAAATGAGCGAATCGGGAAAGAACGAACTCCTAAAAACGCAGCGTAAAACAAACTTAAGAATTGCATCCGCATACTCAACGATCTCCACGGAAGCCTCCCAAGTACTGGCCGACTTTCCATCCATAGATTTGCTGGCCAAAGAACGAAGAGAAGTATATTTAGCAAAGCTAACATTCGCAGATCCGGAAGTGCCCAAGAGAGATCCTAGAGAAGAGCTTCTTTCACAATGGCAAATCAGATGGGATTGTCCATGAAAGGCAGGTGGACCTATCAACTTAACCCAGACATACGGAGATGATTGAACAGAAAGCATGGTGAAACAGACTATCACCTTACCCAAGCCTTATCCGGTCACGGCTGCTTCCCAGCATACCTGCATAGGTTTGGTAAATTAGACAATCCAATGTGTTAGTACTGTGGGGCGGACATCGACAATGCCAACCACACATTATTCATATGCGATGCATGGTACACCCAACGTACACGAGCAAACACCTTAATTGGGACAGATGTAACACCAGCAAATGTGACGAACATAATGCTCAAATCAAAAGAGAACTGGAACACCATTAGCAACTTTGTACATACAATACTTACAAAGAAGGAGGAAGAAGAGCGGAGAAGACAATTACAAACCTAGTTAAGTTTAAATATTGTAGGCCAAAAGCAACACTAGGAGGGTTAGAGGCCCTTCATTCCATTGTCATGATTAAATTGTAAACTTGAAAAATTGATTATTCAATAAACGATGAGGCTGGGGGGGGGGGTGAATTGATCTCCGTTTGTACCACACCCCAGTCCCGATTCAAATATAAAAAAAAAAAAAATAAGACAAGGTTGGAAAATATAGTTATGTAGTTATGGCCGTTATGGTATTCATGACACTTTGAATTTTGACTTTATCTACAAAAAGGAAGCATTTGGAAATTCGTTAAAATAAGAATTAAAGTTTCCGTGTTCGTATTATTAAACAATCAAAATTAATAAACGTTATATTATTTCGTTGCGTACGACAAACTCATTGCCGAATACTGAAGCAACCGTATGATTTCCAGTTCTGTCATCTGGTTAGGATATGGATAGTACACAATATTACATGGTCCGTTCAAGTGCTGTAGAATTAAACAATATCAATAACAATAAATCCAGGTCTGTAGTATCGCGTGAAAAATAAATATTGTATATTCATTTCGCAACAGTATAAATAGTATAAATTTAATATAACACTTTTGAATTGTAAAAAACAACCGTACAACAATCTTATAATTATTCATATCATCTAGCATATTAGCAACAAATATGTTTGATAAGATAAAGCGAGTTGATAAGTCACATAAGACACGTGCGTAAACGGTCTTCCGTGGAGGTCGTGCGACTCGACCATATGTGTTTTTCAAGTGTTACCTAAATTCAAGTTTTATGTTTGTGTCTATACGTACGATTTTTCATTATACGATTCAACAGTGTATAATCAATGACGACATGGCGGTATTATGTGTACAATTTAAAAATTATTATCAACGTTTCTCAACGTTTCAACGTAAATCATATAGTATCAAAGTGTTGGAAACCCGTCAACTATTTTATCGCGGGTTGGTAATCACAATATGATAATATACGTTACCTATCAAACCGGTTGCTTTCGGCTTGACGCCCTTATGGGATTCATCGAGCGCTAATAATACGTAAAAGGATTCTTCATCGTCTTAGGTTTTTGGTCGAATGAATTCATATCGTTTGGGCGAATTTATACACATCATTAGGGTGAAATTTAAATTCAATTTAATTGAATATGTCTAGTACATCGTCGATCGAGATTTTATACATGTATTTATGACATTTGTACAGAATAATACATTTTCTTTCCCAGTTTTAGGGACTCAGGACTCTTAGATAACTCTATATATATATAGATAAATTATCGTTCCCTATCTATATTTTTAAATTGGTTTTGAACTCTTTAAACATGAAAAAAAAGTACTCGTAAAATAACCCCTGCGCATCTCTTGTCCAGTCCTGTATATCTTAATCCGTGACTAAAATAACTATCAGCTGTCGGCTGAAACGATATAATATTATATAACTATAGTAAATATGATAAAATTGTTTGGAAAGTTACGTTAAATATGTTAATTCACTAATTAATTCAATAATTTCTAAGTTCCCCTAAACGATCGGTGGTAAATTTCTTGCCCAAATGATATATGCTCTATTAAAGTACATTTTATGTCATTCACTCAAATTAATGATGTCCAGTATTTTCGATTCCAACGTTAAAGGTAACGAAAAATGTTTACACGGGTTCTTCAAATGTAGCATTATACAAACATGTCCGTTTTTTTTATTGAAACAAATGTATAACCACTGGGATGATGAAAAGTTTTTTTTCTTTTGATAAAAAAAATAGAGAAAAATAATATTTCACAATCGGTTAAATAATTTGTGCACAACAAACAAAATTTTTTGGAATGATAATAATGTTTGCATGAAAATTAGTGTGTCGAAATAATATAATTCTCAGAAATTCAATTTTAAGGTTGAGAAAATCGCTACAGACGTTATGGACAGTAAAGTAAACGGTCTGAAATAATTATTTTTTCACCTTGATTTGTGATAATTAGGTTTATTTGACGGGACTGGTGTGGTATTGTTTTCAGTACTTTAACTTTTATGATTTTTACTGTTTCTACTCCTATGTTATTATACAGTGAGTCATTAACTGTGACGTAACATGGAGCAAAGGCAGTTAATCGGAGATAAGTATTCTAGAACTTGGATTGACGACAAAAAGTTATGTTTTGGGACAAATATTTTTACTCCGTCGTTGAACGCAACATAAGACGACTTAGCCTGCAATTAATTGATCTAAAAATCGATTCTCGGACCGACAAAATGTCGTTAACATGAAGTTTAAAAGAATTTTATTTAATAATATCGTTAGGTCTATGTGAAAAAAGAAACGAGTTCGCGTTAATCCGTGAAAACATTTTCGATATAACGGCTTACGAACAACATGAAACGGAAGTTTGCACGCGATTCTTTTATTTTTAATTAAATTTCTATAAATCATAACAATACAATATCTTAAAATATTTTTCTTAATTTTCGTTTATCGTGTACGGGAATCAATTATATTTTGGTAGTTCGTAATAATGTAATAATTAAAAATTATAATAACATTACAACGACTGGCCGTTATTAACGCTTTACATTTTCACCGCCCCACAGTTTAATTAAAAATTTGCAGTATTACTACACGAGCACTTGTTTAAAAAACATTATCGTTTCGTTTAACGTTTCCGTATTTATCATAGTACATCGTTATCATTTTATGCATAATGTTTTTTTCCATTGTTACTTTCTAAAAACGTTCTCTCTCTCGCGTTTCCTATCAAATCCCTGCCGTTTCGGTAAATGAAATAATATAAAACCGTAAAACAAGAATCTAATAATTTTATTATACGGCATTACTTTGCACGCGTCGTCGTAGTAATAAACATTTTGACGTTGGGTGATAAAGTTCGAAGCATAAACGAATAAATTAGTGTTCGTTAGCCCGTCCAGTAAATTATGATGTTTCTATAGATGTATATAAAGTATAAATTCACTTTGTTTTCCTTCCCACTTTTCGTCGTAAACAATTAAATGATTCGACAAAGCAGTGTGTAGGTACTGTACGATTTTTATAGCGACTATGACGAAAACCATAACTTAAAAAATCAGTAGAAACTTAGAAAACGTATTATATTATTTGTACAAGATAAAATGTCAACGATTTTCTCAGCGACGAGATTACATCGGACGATTTATTATTACATCCGCTACCGCTCTAACCCATGACACTTAGATCCCGTCTCAAAGTTTTAGCAATCTCTACGTACAGAACGGGTTTAGCGGGAAAATAGCCGAGGACCACGAGATATACAAGCTACACCCAGGGACGGACTGAGTTAATATTTTAGGCCGGGAATTTCTTTTGCTAGGCCAAAAATTAACAGGGGACCAACGATTTGTTCATAAGTAGGGCTTGGAACTTAATGCACTTAAAAAGTACTGAATATACATGCACTTATGCACTAAAAATATGTACTTATATTTTATTTTTGTACACAAAATTTTCTTTTGCACAAATATTTTATAAAATTATAAATATAGAAAAAGCAAAGTAATAAAAATAATTCTGATTTTTAATTTTTAATCGTAATTTAAAATAATTATAATAATAATAATAAAATAGCTTTAAAAATATTTCTTGAATAAAAAAATGCACTTGTAGAATGTTCAATAATCATTGAGTTATTTTCCTAGAAAAGTATTTATAGAAAATCATCGTATTTCGATAATAGTTGTTCCTATTTGATATTTGAATAATACTTTATTTTAGATAAAGCTAGCTGTAGTTATAATTTATAAATATTATATTAACCAATAGGGGAAAAACATTGTTTTTAATGTTAAATGGAAATTTGAAAAATTCAATACAAGAATATCAAGAAAATCCTCTCAATATGAATGTATTCATTTTTTTATTTTCTGAATTTTCAAACTGAATCTTCAAAAATCATAAAAGATGCTCTAAAAATGTAAAATCAAGATATATGCTCTCAAATCTAAAAATCACTAAGTATGCAAAAATATGCACTTAAAACTTTTGATGTGTTTTGGAATGAATTTCTACCCTACTTAGCAATAAATCCAATGATGCAAAAAAACATGCAAATGCAACAACTTCCGAGTCTTATTCGAAATCCTTATTATTTAAAAAATATTTTCAACATTTTATGTAAATACATAAAATTTCACATAATATATAAGAATTTTTTTTTATATATATGGATACAGTGTTCGCATTTTAATATAATACCTATATATTGAAATTAACTCTAAAAGTAATTTCTTTTTTACATAATTATGTTTTTTTTTTTTTTCATAACTTCACTAGGTTCCCCCAATTCTGTCGATTAAAATATCGTAATACTATATTTTTAATTTCTAAAATATTATCAGGCCAGTCCGCCACTGGCTACAAATACTACTGTTGTCCACGGGGTGTGGCTAATCGCAGTCGTCCGAAACCCGTAGAAGCAAAATTATAAATTGTTATCGTGGCTGCCAATAGTACCCGGAGAGTAGTGAAATAATATGACCGTTCGGACGGCCAGTCGACGAAACGCATGTGCTCGTCTGCATAAATTAGTTTAAAGAGGGACTACTTTTGGTAAAAAAGTTTTAATCGAACTAATTGTTTCGGGCCACAGCTACTGTACGATAATCGCTGTATACGTGTGATATAAAGTCACGAGCAAAACTTAAATCGTTCAACTTGTGCAAATAACACTGAACCAACCGTGCCCTATTTGTGAAACCGAAATATTCGGGTGCCAACGATTGGGAACGACAGAATATAGTACGCGCCGTACGCGCTGAAGCGAGTATCGTTCAAAAACAAATTTTGAGAACACCAGTCAGTGTTTTTTTCCTCTATCGTCGTAGTGCTATGCGCTTCGTAATGTGACGTGTTTAAGTAATGCAAAAGTGATTCAAACCTAAACCACATAGTTAAATAAAAATAACCGCAAATGCGTTTCATTCGGTTCGTTACAATAGACATTTAATAATATAGCAATGCAGGTATATTCGATCGTTTGTAGGTGAACATGGGTGGGAGGTGCTCGAGAGTGGTTAGCAACCCCGATTTATAACTGAACGCTACCGCAGTCCTCGAGTTGTTCATTGTGGAAGTATAAACGATACGCGTTATTAACGTAACTATTTTCGTGTGCCCGAACTTGACAGCTAACGTGCGACTACATACGGTGCACGATTGTAAGTCACGGAGCATTGTAATCGCACGAGCTTGCTGACGTTCCGAGTAAGTTATGGAGATACCGTAAGGCCAGAGCTATTGAGTTAAACGAACGGAGACGGAAAACCGCGCAAGGAAATCGGACCATCGATTCAACCAGTGGCGTTTAATCGAATAACCGATGCGTCCGCTACGTTTCACCGATAGCATTGCGATGTTTTCTCGAAAACCCGTTATGGGTTACGTTTGTTGCGCCGACCAACGAGAACGAGCACGGAGAACAACGCGCGGGGCCGACGGGAAAACGCCGAACGCGTGAAAACCGAACAAAACGTTTACCCACCTTCGTTTCAGGTAGTTGACATTGGTGGTGAAAGACTGTTTGAACGTTGAGAATGGAATCTTGACTGATTATTGGAACGCGGTTCGGAGGACGGGACGAGAGCTGATCCGGCTCTCGTGTGACGGCGCAGGGGCGGTCCGGCGGACGTCGTTTCGGAACGGTTGGCGGGGAAAAAAATGTCGGGAACGGAACGAGAACGGCGGCCGTGCCCGCGGTGTGCCGTACCGGAACGTTTTACGGGACACGATCGGTCGGGCGAAACGCGCGTGGCCGAGACGGTGGCTGCGGACGGAGGACGTGTGTCGTCGCGTGAGACGTGCGCGGAACAATGCGCCCCGCGACGCGCCCCGTAGGCGTAGGCCCCCGTGTACGCTCGCACGCGTTTCGGTGCA